GATTATGGAATGTATAAGGTCAGGTCTATAGGTTGAAGAACAGTCATACTCTGAAGCAGAACCAGTCAGCTGATAAAAGTTAAGATACCAGAGAAAAATAAGAGACTAAAACAGCTAGCAGTAGACACCAGACATGTTTAAATTTTAAACACTTAAAATTCACATAAGTTCAAAATATATACATTGCTCTCTCATACAAATAACCTACCTATAATTCTTACATTTAAAAAATGCAATAAATAAATTAATAAATAAAAATACTATCAATAACATAAACTATCTTTTGTGGGAGGCTCTTTGAAAGTAATCTGTTTTACTAGTTGAATTTCATGAAGTTAATTTTACTTTTTGGATGCTTATTAACATACTTCAAATATTGCTTTCAATATTTATTTATACTCACATTGTTCTACATTAGAAGTGCTGCCGAAAAATGCTCCCCAGTCCAAATAAGCAGCTCTGTGGATTATCATTTCATTGACATATTAAAAATTGGAGCCTTAACCTCTAAACCTATTTTGTGGTATAGTATGACATGAAGGTTTTGTCCCTGTTATTATAACTTCCTGAGAGATTTTACTACAAAAGATGATGGGCTCCTAAAGATAAACACTGGTTCTGCACCATCCTGTGCTCATATTTTCTTCTGAATCAGCAATGATAGGACATTTGGAGAAACTGCAGCAGTGAAATCATTATTGCTCTCTCCTGTGAGCCAGATATCAAGAGTCACTATTAAGCCAAGAACTTCTAAAGGGGACTTCTAAATTCTGCACTTTGATGGATAACATGTATCAAATTTTTTCTTCAAAGTACTAAGATTAAAATCACATGTTAATATAGCTAACTTATTTAAAAATAAATTATCCTTCGGTGAAAACAACCAATTTTTTTATTTTAATGAAGATTAGAGAATTACTACGGATGTATGAACTTCTCAAATATGTCAGAAAGTGAAGAACATGAAAATCATGCCCAGTGTGAACACTGAAACAGTCTATATTTTAAATTTGGAATAATTTCATGTCAAATTTTATCTTAACTTACATGCCTTATATAAAATGTATATAACAAATGTGTACACTGGGGTTCATGAAAAAATTACAGAAATAAATATCTGACCCAACTAGTTTTATCTGTAAATTAGGAAAAAGGCATAGTAATTCAGCTTTAGCAGAGCACTTCTTACTTACTATTTGCATTCCCAGTGCTCACTGGATGCAAAATTATGATTACATTAGTATGAAAAATGAGTGTATATTGAGTAGTTAGTGTAAGATACCATTAAATTTTATTTCTAAAACCCCACAATACAGAATACATATTAAACTTACTACTATCTCCATTGTGTCTGATTTAAATAAGCCTAAGTTTTAATAAATTATTCTTTTTCCCATTTATTCTAAAGACTTTTCCCAATTAGTGACTATATTTAAAAAATAAGAAACAGGCATCATATATGCATCAGGTTTAAATCAGTAGTTATTGTCACATTTACTTTTGTCTGTTTTATTTCCAGTCTAGTTTTCAACAATTTGGGGAACTTTAGAGTAAATAAGTTTACAATCAGGCCCTCCCTGGTGGCCAAGTGGGTTAAAGCACTGCACTGAGAAGCTAAAGCCACTTCCACATGAGTTCGATTCCTCCCTGCCCCAGAGGTGACCACATGATGCGGCAGACCTCTCCTGACCCGCCTGCTACTCCCCTCAGCAGTGTACTTCATAGATCTGCCTGTTCTGCTCCCCACTTTGTCTCTGGTGAAGCCTCTCACCGCCCCTGAGCCTCTGGCCTGTACCCCAGTTCTGTATGTACAAATAAGTAAATCTTTAAAAAAAATAAGTTTACAATCAAATATTCAATTTACAATATATACTTATTACAGGACTTTACAAATTGAAGTCCTGTAGTGGAGTATTTGAGATCATTAACATTTCCCTGCATATTTTAAAAATAGGAAAGAGCAGAGCTAGTCATTAGCAGGGGAAATATGAAGAATTTAAAATCCAAAGCAATTAGTCTCAAAATTAGGATACAAATGACAGTAAATGGCTTTTGCATGTATGTTATTAATTGTTAAGAACTAATGTGAAGGCAGGTGAACAATCCTAACTTTAAAGTCAGGAGCAGATTTTGAAATACTTAGCATTAATTTCTTTAAGAAATACTGGTTTATTGAACATCTTCTCTGTGACTAGGGATTATGTTAGAGCCCTGAGCACAATCAAAAAAGGTAAAAATTATAAATTATGGCAAGTGACTAAACTAGGAACTCATTAAAATAAGAAAATGATTTCCATTGAGTTTGTCCCTCCATTGTGTCTTTGATTCTGTGGTGAGCATAAACACTGAAGGAAGCTTAGCAGGGAGCTACAGACAAGCACCTCAAAAAAAAAAAAAAAAAAAAGAGGCATGTATGACACTTTTCTAAGTTTAAGAGTAGGTAAAATGTATACTAGAAAGTATTACCCTTTCTGACTGGAGATTAGGATAGCTGTATAAAAATGTTTTGGAGGGCCCTCTCTGATGGTGCAGGGCATTAAAGCACAGCACTAAGAAGCTAAAACCATCTCAGCATGAGTTCAATCCTTGCCCAGAGGTGACCCATATGGCGCAGCAAACCTCTCCTGACCCTCCCACTGCTTCCCTCAGCAGTCTTCTTCATTTATCTGTCTATTCTGCTCCCCACTGCTGTCTCTGGTGAATCCTCTTACCGCCACTGCACCTCTGGCCTGTACCCCAATTCTGTATGCATAAGTAAATAAATCTTTAAAAGAAAATGTTTTGGAGGGGTTGGGAAGGGAATTGCTGGTAAAAGATAGTCTACCACCTGTTTCAGAAAGCAACTAAACATTATGTAATTGTAGTGTAGGAGAAATTATCATTTCAAACAAGTAAAGCATGGACACCATTCTGAGTCTGACTTACACAAATTTACTTAACAAGGGATGAAGGATAGCTAGTATGACCTCTACTTAAAATGATAGCAAGAATGACTATTTCTGGCCTTGAGGATAAGAGTGAGAGAGTGTGTGTATACAATCATGCACAGCAAAGAATATTTAGTATATTTCACGCACTAATTAATAATGAATTCACTTTTCAAAATACCAAAGCAAATGCGGGAGCAAAAGTTTCATCTGTACTCTGGGTTAAACTCTCAAATTTTAAATTACCAGATTTCAACTGCATATTTATTTCAGTTGAAAGGTTTGAACAGATTATTAATGAATCTCCTTAAAAGCTAATTTTAATATAATAAAAAAACACTACAGGTACGGTACAAATTATAGGTGTATATTTATTGAGTACGTACAATATGACAGCACTGTGCTGGGCAACTTACAATAGTCTTTCTAACACTGCCACATTTCAGTTTCTCATTTTCTCTGTCAGTAACTCTTACATGGTTAATTTACATTATTTGACATACAGTTCAGCTCACTTACTTCATAAAGTTGGTCGTAAAGCCATTTTCTCATTTGAAGGGGTGGGGTGGAGAGGGGAAAACTAAATCCCACTGAACACTTATGAGTTGATTTTCTGACCTTTCAGAAACCCCCAAGCGTGAACACAGTCAAGAACTTGCGATAAGATCAACAATCTATCAGTCTCAGAGGCCACATCTGTCGTCGATCTTAAGGACCTATACAGCGATAACTGCCCATTTAGGTAGTAAATCATGGCCTAATACCATAACTCAAAGTCCTGACCCCTAATATTACCCGTCTATTCAAAGGAGAAAGCAGGGAGAGGGTAGAAGAGCAGATCCGTTGGGCGCGGTGGGGGCGGGGGGAGGCTGAGGTGACAGCAGGTGAGGGCTCGGTGCGGATGAGGAAGTGAGACAGGGACAATGTGGGTATTACTCATTCTGCTTTACCGCCAAGGTTGCTTATAGCGGAACTTCTTGCCTCTCTTTCAGCTCAGCTTAAGTTCTATTTACTTGAAGTCACTTCCCAAGCCGGCTCGCTCGGGGAAAACCATGCTTCCGTGTAAGGGAAGAGTCAGAGCTGCGGCGGTCAGGTAGCCTCTCTCGTGACGCCGCGTGTCCGGGCCGTCGGAGGCCGGGTTTCCCAATTCAGTCCCTCGCTGTTCCCCGAACCTGCCCTTCCCATAATTTAATCATGGGAACTCTCAGTGCAGTGCAGAACACGACCCTCCCCAAGACCCCAGGGTGCGCAGGACTGACAATCCAAGCCTGAAGATGAGGGCAGACAGGTTGCTCCCGTGCCCCTGAGGGGCAGCTCCGAGAGCCCAGGGTTGTGGGGAGCTTCCGCCAGACCCGCACGTTCCCCAGGCAGCCGCGGCGGGTGTGGCCAGTTCAAAGGCAGAATGCCACCAAGCCTCCTACTTTACCTTTCCCACTCCGACTGCCTGTCGTCCTCTGACAACGTCCTGTCCCCAAGTTTCCCCACGCGCCCCTCCCCAGCCCCACGACACCTGAGGGAAACTTTTCCCTCTCCCCCTCAATTCAAATTCAGCAGCTTCTACATTGCCGCAAACCGTCCTCTCCCTAGCAACAAGGTTCCGGCCGTAGAGCGAGCGGCTCTAGGTGTAAGGAAGGTGATGTCGTAAAGCTGAGTGTCGTAAACCAGGTGCGGTGGGGAGGGGGAGGGG